TGTACATTGAAAAGTACATTCAAAACCGTGATCAGAATGAGAGAATACAGGTATGACTGGAATAATAGTACTCCCTATTTCAGTGCAGAATCAAAGCTAGAAGAGAATGATGAAACAAATACTTGTTGGGAATAACATCGCAAGTAGGAAACTTCAAAACAAAAATAAATGAAGAAAGAAATCGTTTGAAGGAGTCAAAGCAATTTAGTGAAACCTGTCAACTTTAGGGAGCCCCTTTGAGCAGACCGGATCCTGGGATATAATTTGCTGCTTTGTATAGGTGAAACTAACATAAATATATTGTACAATCTCGTTATTTTAATGATCGATAGAATGTTGCCAGTGAAGTCTATTCTTTACACTCATTGATTTTTCATCCCATCCACCAGCAGATTTTACATATAAAAGAAGTTTCAAAGAAAGAAATGTATTACATCTGTCGAGTGCTTGTCGTGTGCTCAGGATTTTGCCAAATGCCGGACAATGAGTTTGCACAGTTAGGACGGATGGACAGATGCACACACTCTCACTCTTCTGGTTCTATTGATTGAAGTATAAATCTATACATTATTGGGACCATAAGACATAGGAGCAGAAATTAGGCCATTCGGCCCATCGAGTCTGCTCCACAATTCAATCATGGCTGTTAAGTTCCTCAACCCCATTCTCCCGCTTTCTCCCCTTAACCCTTGATCCCCTTGATAATCAAGAACCTATCTATCTCAGTCTTAAATATACTCAATGACCTGGCCTCCACAGCCTTCTGTGGCAGTGAATTCCATAGATTCACCACTCTCTGGCTGAAGAAGTTTCTCCTGATTTCCATTCTAAAAGGTCTTCCCTTTACTCTAAGGCTGTGCCCTTGGGTCCTAGTCTTTCCTACCAGTGCAAGCATCTTCCCAACATCCACTCTGTCCAGGCCATTCAGTATTCTGTAAGCTTCATTTAGATCCCCCCTCATCCCTCTAAACTCGAATGAGTATAGTCCCAGAAACCTATGAAAGCCTGCTGTATCCTTTGAGACTACATGATCCTTTATGTCATTTAATCAAACAGAAAGAACATTTAGAATGTTATTCATAATGCTTTATGTAAGAAAGTACAAGTAATTCATGTAGTAGAATCCCTACAGTGTGGAAGTAGGCTATTGCCTATTGAGTTCATACCAACCCTCCGAACAGCATACCACCCAGACTCAACTCCGTAACCCTACATTTCCCAGAGCTAATCCACTTAGCTTGCACAATGGGCAATTTAGCATAGCCAATTCACCTAACCCGCACATCTTTGGACTGTTGGAGGAAACCGGAGGAAACCAATGCAGACATAGAGAGAAACACAGACAGTCACCTGAGGGTGGAATCGAACCCAGGTCCTGGGCGCTATGAGGCATCAATGCCACCACAAAAATGTGTTCCCCAAAAGTCTACATTTCATAATTAATATTCCTTTACCGTACAAAATGATTTTGAAGAAACTCACATTTGGGAACATTGAGTTCATGTGGGCTGATGATATCAGCCCTTTGCAGACTGAAGAATAAAATACATAGAAAATGAGTAGTTCCTCAAATTCCCAATAGGGCAGAAAATCATAGGAGGCAAGCATTCCTCGTGTAATTAATAACAGGAAACCAAATTCAAGTTTTCTTGAGGGAAGTAACCAGAGTGCATAGTTTTGCACCTGACTCATTCCTGTATATACAGTTTTTGAAAGCATTATTATTTTCTGTTAATTGTAGCATTTGCAATGAAGCTATAGATGTGGTTTGTGCCATCTGTACATTCTTTATTTTTTCTGCTTTCCTGAAATCCACATCTTCAGTGATGTGAGATTTCCATCTATTGCAAAGGTGTGCCCTTGACCCTGATTTCTGGCCTTAAAGCCATTTATGTTTTTCAAATGGGTTCTTGGCCTCTTGTAGGAAATCAGCATCTAAATCCAATCAATGAATAGCTCTGTGACTCATTACAAAAGTTTGTTTGCACTTCAGTGGTCCATTAATTGGTCCATTCAGTCATCCGTAGCAGTGCTGAACACCAGGAATAACCAACCTCTAGCTATGTTATTGTTGGTAGGAATAAAAATGCATCGGATGAATATAGGTTGTTGTCTTTCATTAGTGTAGGTTGAAATAGAAGTGTTAGAAAAAAAGACTTGAGTGGATTAGATATGCTTGGTGTTTGTTTTGCTTATTTGGTTCTGGCAATTGAACCCGATTGGTGAATAAATACTTTCAAGAACCCTCAAAGTTTAGATCTCCTTTTTATCACATTTTACAACCAGTTAATGAACTGCTGGCATTTCTACCTGATTAGAAATTAAGACTGTCAGAATTTTGCTTTCATCTATCAAGATTCAAGGTATAAATCTATACTATCAGGATCCTGATAGAGAGGAACACTGTTGATCAAAATGGACTTTTTAAAAAAATATTATGGAAATAAATTGTAACTGATTTAGAAATATATCTAATTTTCTGACATTTCATTTCTCCATATACCTCCATGTTATAAAAACTTTAGATTGAGTTTCAATCTGTTGATGATATTAGGAGTATACTTCTTGTTACTGGTAATGCTGAAAATTGCCCCATTTTCTCACTTTTGTGCTACATTCATCTCAGGATAAGAAAGTTAAAAGGCAATAGTTTTACCTGACCAAACTATTATGGAGGAATTCATAATTCTTCATATAGAATCACATATATATATTTCAATCATGGACAGGTAAGTTGAGAGAAAGCAGACATACTGCCAGACCTGCTGAATTTCTGTAAATATTTCTGTTTTTGTTTCAGATTTCCAGCATCTGCAGTCCTTTTTTCTGTCAGGAAAGCTGAGTTGTTTTTACAGCAGAAAGGGCTGAGAGGAGAATTAATAGAGATGTTAAACTCATGAAGGGTTTAGATGAAGAAAGAAAAACTTCCTAGTGGCTGATGAATTGATCACCACAGAGCATAGATTCAGGTTATTAGCTAAAGAACCAGAGACAACATGAATAAAACTTGTTACGCACAACCAGTGATAAGGATTTGGAATGCACTGTTTGATGTGATAATGGTTATAAAAAAGGGAGTTGGATAAATACTTGAAGGAAAATTGCAATTGCAAGGTTAAAGGGAAGGAGCCAAGGTATGGGACGAGCTGCATTGTAATTTATAAAAGCTAATCCAGACTCAACTTATTGAATGGCACACTTCATTTTTGTATCTATTCTATGGCAGATGATTAATGTTGAAGGAAAACTACATCAATATCTGTAATGGAAAATCTGATTAGTCAATGGATTTTAATGGCACTGAAAAATTCCATACAGTAGGTTCGATGGCTGTACAAGTCCCACATCTGAAGGAAAATTTGAATTGATTTGTTTTTGTGAAAATATAACGTAACAGTATAATTAACATGTTTGAATTGTTTGAAAAATAGGTCATAAAGATGTTTACCAAATGGGTAATTGTGGTTTGAAATGAATAAGTATGATGATAATGTTGTTGTACTTTTACATTTGAATTGACTATTGTTCAAATACTGGGTATATTTTAGGCTACGACTTTTGATGTGATTGATCAATCTGTAAAAGAACAAAAAGTACTTGTGTGTCCCAGATTATTGGCAGTTTTAGCAGACTCCCAGTGTCTGTAGGAATGAATACAGACCCATGCCAAAATATTGATCTAGTGGAAATTTGGCTAGTTCGATTGCATTGGTTCACAATCAACTTTGCTTTGTTTTCGGATTGGATTGTTTTCAAAATTACTGAACTCAAGCTTTTCTGACCAGAACCTTTTTTTTGACTTTTGCAGTAAGAGTTGACTAAAAATCCAAAATAGTGGAACTGGTGTTTATGTGTCATCCAACATAACTGGATTCTTTATCCCTCTAGAGTTGATGATAGAGGAATAGGTTGCCATTTTTGTTTCTCTCAACAGCTGTAGTAATCCAAATGAATTATTTAACCATTTTTACAAAATTAACTGAAGTACCAAGCTACATGATGGGTGATTGGCTGATCCACACAGGTGGAAATGGGTAGTCTTGGCAAAATATCTGGTTGGACAATTATCTTGATGGCACGTATGACACCAAGGTTGCAGATTGTCTGTTTTGGCCTCAAATAGTTGTTGCAGCATGGATGCTGTTAGTAGCTAAGGAATAGAGGTTGCATCAAGGGTTGAAGAACATGGCTTTGGTCTTCCTGCTATTTAGTGAAGCTGCTATAGGTCTAGTTGATAGCAACAATCCTTTAAAACTTATAAAATGCTTTTCTCTGTTTCTTCAAATGAGAACTTTGGTTGTGAAATGGACCTACCATCTGTCATTAAACACATCAGATTCCTTTAAATATGTATGAACAATGAAATTGTTGATTTGCTCACCGAGCTGGCTTGTTCTCGTTCAGACGTTGAGTCACCATGCTAGGTGACATCATCAGTGGAGCCTCTGATGAAGAGGTGTTATTCTACTCTGCTTGGAATTTATACTGTTTGGTCTGTCATGTTGAGTAGTGTCATTTCCGGTTTTGATCTGAATGGGTTTGTATTTGGGGTCCAATTCTATATGTTTGTTGCTTGCATTACGGGTGGAGAACCATGCCTCTAGGAATTCCTGTACATGCACGAGAATTCCTAGAGGCACGTTTCTTCACCCATTGTGCAATCAACAAACACATAGAATTGGATCCTCTATTCAAATCCTTTCAGATCAAAACCGGAAATGACACTATTCACCATAACGGACCAAACAGGATAAATTCCAAGCAAGTCAACAACCTCATCCACAACCCGAGCAATAGATCTTTGCCAAAACTTTGAATGTATGAACAATGTGGTGCAAGAGTGAGGAAGAATTACTTTTCACAAAAGAAAGCAGTTAAAATAGGAAGCCTAGAAAGAAATAGATATAGCAAGAAAAGCAAGAATGCACACTTTGTCTTTTTGAAAGCTGTTTTATAGAGAATTTAATGTAATCATTTTTATTTTTTCTGCTTTTATTTAGGGCACTGAAAGTCTTGCAGCCACAATTCAGCCTGAAATGCAAATTGAACATGGAGCGATCCAGATTCAACAAGGAGAGAATGGAGAAGTTGTTCAAATTCAAATGCCAGTCAATACTGTCAGCAGTTAAAACCAAATGAACTTAGCTATAATAGCATAGAGAGAAAACACAGATTGTGCAGTGCAGGCAATGGCCAAGTTGCAGATGCACATTATAGTAGCAAAGCCTGAAGCTCCTCACATTACAAAAGAATAAAATATTCAGCAAACAAAAAAGACTTGAAATCATTTGAAGAATTTGTTTCCTATTTCAAACTAACTATTGTGGACATTGGGATCAACTGTTAACCATGTGTGAAACAAGAAAAATACATATCTGTGCAACAACCTATTAGCTTTTATTATTCATTGTAATTTTATAGGGTCTTGTTTTGTCTTAATTGCTACTGAACTGTTTTGGTTTGAAAATGAATTACACAGATGCTTTGAAGAAATGTATTTATGAATCATATACATTATATCTAGAATTCAGGGAATTTATTTTTTCATTTATTATTTGCAGCTGAAAACCCTTAAGAGGCAAAAGCAGTAAGGCTTTTTTTTGTAACTAATTTTAGGAAGAAGATATGCCAGTCAATTAAGGAGATTTGTTGCAATTATTATGAAAAGAGTGAAGTACCACAAGTCCTTTCAGCGTGAAGTGAATTAACATTTTACTGCTTAGTTTAGGTACAGCAATATGGTGTTACTTTTAACTTGCATCATAAAGGAAACACTCAGTTGCAGTCTTGATAAAGACTTGTCTGCTACAGAAATATTCTTGTAAAGAGCTTATTAAATCAATGAGAAACTGAAACCACTGTGTTTAACTTCTTAACATTGATAATAGGAACATGACCAGGACTATGATGATAACACTAATCACAGAAACATACATTTAATGACTTTTAAGGTCAATTTTCCTTTAAGCCCAGTTGACCAAAAAAGCCTATTATAAACCAGTGTTTTCCCAATAAGTCAAGAATTTTCCCTGTTATTTGCAAAAGGGCATTCCTGTCTCAGTTATCGCTGCTTTGTTTTCTAAATATTCCAAGTACATTTTAAATATTAATAATGCTGAACAAGTTAACCCAAAATTTTTCTTTATGATTGGATTGTTGGACTTGTAAAAACAAAGGAAAAGTTTGATTATTTAAATGAACTTAACTAGGTAAATTCAGGTACTAAGCCCTACTGCTTCCTTTGTGCCTTGACCAGGATTTCTATAGCTCTGTACAGACATGTGCGAGTAACATCAGCGGTGAAGCATAGATCCTTGTTGAACTTCAATGAGCACTTATTGGTTATTTTGCAGAGTCACCATGTAAAGCACCCCAATTTGATTCAATGCAGTAACAGGGCATTGCACTGCTCCTCTGCTGTAGAAACACAGGTGTACAAAAAGCGAGCAGTAGTAGGCCATTCGAGCCTGCTGTGCCATTTAGTATGATCATGGCTCATCATCCAACTCAGCAGCCTGTTCCTGCTTTCTCCCCATACCTGTTGATTACTTTAGCCCGAAGAACTAAATCTAATTCCTACTTGAAAATATTCAGTATTTTGGCCTCAATCATTCTCTATGGCAGATGATTCCACAGGCTCACAACTGTCTCGGTGAAGAAACTTTTTCTTAGTTAACCCGAATTTTTTCTGGTTTGCAGTGACATCATTTTTCAGAGGTGGGCTCCCTCCTGGTGACAAGGGGAAGTATTTTAATGCGTAGAATAATTGAATCCAGTGGTGACCAAAGCCTGGAATGGGCAAGTCATACATTCTAGAATCCACCGTTTAACTTGTGCCACTCTAAAGCAGGGTTGGCTTAGAAAGGCAACTCACATGGTCAAGTGGAGGAATCATATTTAGTTATGCTGTTAGCTATAGAGTTCTTCTACAATACTTCTGATTGCCCTTCTGTTTTCTTTTATGATGCCAGCTGATATAACCCTTTGATGCCATTAGAACATAAGAACTAGGAGCAGGAGGAGGCCGTCTGGCCCTTCGAGCCTGCTCCGCCATTCAATAAGATCATGGCTGATCTTTTCGTGGACTCAGATCCACTTACCCGTGTTCTCACTGTATCCCTTAATTCCTTTATTGTTCAAAAAAAATCTACCTTTTTTTTAAAAACGTTTACTGAAGTAGCGTCAACTACTTCACTGGGCAAGGAATTCCATAGATTAACAACCCTCTGGGTGAAGAAATTCCTTCTCAATTCAGTCCTAAATCTGCTCCCTCTAATCTTGAGGCTATGCCTTCCTGTCCTAGCTTCACCTGCCAGTGGAAACATCCTCTCTACTTCTATCTTATCTATTCCCTTCATAATTTTATATGTTTCTATGAGATCCCCCCTCAATCTTCTGAATTGCAATGAATATAATCCCAATCTACTCAGTCTCTCCTCATAAGCCAACCCCCTCAACTCCAGAATCAACCTAGTGAACCTCCTTTGCACCCCCTCCAGTGCCAGTACATCCTTTCTCATGTAAGGAGACCAACACTGCACACAGTACTCCAGGTGTGGCTTCACCAGCACCTTGTACAGCTGCAACATAACCTCTCTGCTTTTAATTTCAATCCCTTTAGCAATGAAGGACAAAATTCCATTTGCCTTCCTAATTACTTGTTGTACCTGCAGACCTACCTTCTGTGATTCATGCACAAGGACACCCAGGTCCCTCTGCATAGCAGCATGCTGCAACTTTTTACCATTCAAGTAATAATCCTTTTTACTATTACTCCTACCAAAACGTATGACTTCACATTTATTTACATTGTATTCCATCTGCTAGACCTTTGCCCACTCACTCAATGTATCTATGTTCCTCTGCAAAGTTTCACAGTCCTCTGCACACTTTGCTCTGCCACTCATCTTAGTGTCATCTGCAAACTTTGACACCCTACACGTGGTCCCCAACTCCAAATCATCTATATAAATTGTAAATAATTGCGGTCCCAACACCGATCCCTGAGGCACACCACTAGTCACTGACTGCCAGCTAGAATAGCACTCATTTATCCCCACTCTTTGCTTCCTGTTAGTAAACCAATCCTCTATCCATACTAATACTTTACCCTTAATGCCATGCATCCTTATCTTATGCAGTAGCCTCTTGTGCGGCACCTTGTCAAAGGCCTTTTGGAAATCTAGGTACACCGCATCCACTGGGTCCCCATTGTCCACCTCGCTCATAATGTCTTCATAGAATTCCAAAAGATTTGTCAAGCATGACCTGCCCTTCATGAACCCATGCTGCGTCTGCCCAACGGGACAATTTCTATCAAGATGCCTTGCTATTTCTTCCTTGATAATAGACTCAAGCATCTTCCCCACTGCAGAGGTTAAGCTAACCGGTCTATAATTCCCCATCTTTTGTCTACTTCCCTTTTTAAACAGTGGCGTCACATTTGCTGTTTTCCAATCTGCTGGGACTGCCCCAGAGTCCAGTGAATTTTGGAAAATTACCGCCAGTGCACCTGCTATTTCTCCCGCCATCTCTTTTAGTACCCTGGGATGCATTCCATCAGGGCCAGGAGACTTCTCAATCCTTAGCTCCATTAGCTTGCCCAACACTACCTCTTCTGTAATTATGATTATTTCCAGGTCCTCACCTACCTTCGTCTCTTTGTCAATTACTGGCGTCCTCCACTGTGAAGACCGATATAAAATACCTGTTCAATGCCTCGGCCATTTCATCATATCTCATAACTAAATTCCCCTTCTCATGCTCTAAAGGGCCAATGTTTACTTCAGCCAGTCTTTTTCGTTTTATATATTTATAGAAACTTTTGCTATCTGTCTTTATATTCTGTGCTAGTTTTTTCTCATGTTCTATCTTACTTTTCTTTATAGCTCTTTTTGTGGCTTTCTGTTGACCTTTAAAGTTTTCCCAATCTTCTAGTTTCATGCTGTTTTTGGCCACTTTGTATGCCTTCTCTTTCAATTTGATAGCCTCCCTTATTTCTTTAGACACCCATGGCAGATTACCCCTTTTCTTACGGTCCTTCCTTTTCATTGGAATATACTTTTGCTGAGCACTTTGAAAGATTGCTTTGAAAGTCCTCCACTGCTCGTCAACTGTCCCACCATAAAATCTTTGTTTCCAGTCTACTTTAGCCAAGTCCTCCCTCATTCTATTGTAGTTCCCCTTGTTCAAGCACAGGACCCTGGTATTGGATTTTATCTTCACACTCTCCATCTGTATTCTAAATTCAACCATACTGTGATCACTCCTTCCAAGAGGATCCCTAACTATGAGGTCATTAATTATTCCTGTCTCATTACACAGGACCAGATCTAGGATAGCTTGCTCCCTCGTCGGTTCCATTACATACTGTTCAAGAAAACTATCACGGATACACTCAACAAACTCCTCCTCAAGGCTACCCTGACCGAGCTGGTTCGACCAATCTACATGTAGGTTAAAATCCCCCATGATAATTGCCGTACCATTTTTACAGGCATTAGTTATTTCTTTGTTTATTGCCCGCCCCAATGTGATGTTATTATTTGGTGGCCTATAGACTACGCCTATCAGTGACTTTTTCCTCTTAGACTTTCTAATTTCCACCCAAATGGATTCAATCTCATTCTCCATAGAACCTATGTCATCTCTCAGCACCGCCCTGATGGCGTCCTTGAATATCAGAGCTATACCACCTCCCTTACCTTCCTGTCTGTCCTTCCGAATAGTCTGGTACCCTTGGATATTTAACTCCCAGTCATGACCCTGTAACCGTGTCTCCATAATGGCTACCAAATCATATTCATTCGCAATGATTTGTGCCATTAACTCATCAACCTTGTTACGAATGCTACGAGCATTCAGGTAAAGTGCCTTTATGCTAGCTTTCTTACCCTCATGATTTCCAACATCTCTAATAATATCTCCTGAGTTATCCTTCCTTTTTGCTTCTTTCATAGTCTGCCTTGAACTTAAACCCTCCTGCACACATGCTAACCTGCTGCTTACCTTTTTATTTACCATCATACTCCCTGTCGTTTTCCCTTTCCCTTCCCCCCAGTTCACTCGTTTAAAGTCCTAGTGACCACCCTATTTATCCTTTTCGCAAGAACACTGGTTCCAGATCGGTTCAGGTGGAGACCGTCCCATTGGTACAGATCCCTCCGGTTCCAAAACTGATGCCAATGCCCCATGAAATGGAACCTCTCTTTCCCACACCACTCCCTTAGCCACGTGTTTACTTCCCTAATTTTCTTATCCCTAAGCCAATTTGCACGTGGCTCGGGCAGGAATCAGGAGATTATGACCCTCAAGGACCTGTTCCTTAATTTCGTCCCTAGTGCTTGATAATCCCCAAACAGGTCCTCCATCCTAGCCTTGCCTATGTTGTTAGTCCCAACGTGGACCGAAACAACTGGATCCTTCCCCCTCCCGCTCCAATATCCTTTCAAGCCGGTCAGAGATGTCCTGCACCCTGGCACTGGGCAGGCAACACACCATGTGGGACTCCCGATCCGGCTTCCAAAGGATACGAGCTATCCCCCTAACTATAGAATCCCCTTTAACTACCACTTGTCTTTTTGCTCCCCCCTCTTGAATGGCCTTCTGCACCATGGTGCCGCGGTGAGCTGGCTCATCCTCCCCGCAGCCCTTTTCCTCATCCACACAGGGAGCAAGTATCTTGTACCTGTTGGATAAGGTCAAAAGCTGAGGCTCCTCCACTCCTGAACTCAGGATCCCCCTACCTGCCTCACTTGCAGTCACACCCTCTTGTCCCTGATCACTAACTGAATTTGAATTACTTCATCTACCAGGTGTGAATGCCTCCTGAAACAAAGCGTCCAGGTAACTGTCC